TCCTTGGCCGCCTGTTAACCAGGAGCCTCTGGCCTCTGGACCAAGGAGGCCCTGGGCACTGATCAGTCTAATTGCTTGGCTTTCTCCAGAAATAACCTCACCATCACTGATAGCTATTTTCCTTCAAAATCATTCTCACATCCCTAATGTTATCTAAGGGCAGAGGTCTGGCCACAGGCTGGTGTGACCCTCATCTGCACTTTGGAGAATGAGACCAGAAGTGTCAAGCAGGGCTGGCCTAGACAGAGGCTGTAAATGGCACTGGGAGGCATCAGGACCAAGACCAGCAGCTCCTCTTTTGAAATTAGTGCTTGAAGAAGAGATGCAGTGCCAGGTAGGATTTACAGAATTGAGGCAGTGGGCATTCTGATGGCTAAGTGCCTCAGAGGTTAGGCTGAATACTAAATTTGATCCTGATAGCCAGGATTATGAGGGCTGACATGGCAGAGTCAGAGCCTTGGGACAGTTGGTGAAACAGTGGTGTGTAGCAGCCTGGATTCTAGTCCCCTAGCTGTTCCCTTTACTAGCTGGATGACCTTAAGTAAGTCACTTACTTTTGCTGAGCCTCAGCTTTTCATTTATAAAATGGAACTGACAACATCAGGATCAAGGACATAAACTGGTTTTGTTCACGAAAGTCCTTTAAAGTCCTTACCTTGGCAATCAGTATCCAAGACATCTCTTTGAATAGGCTTTTGGAGTCAAACAGACCTGGGTTCCAGTTCTAACTTTGCTCTGTTAACCAATAACCTGGCCTGAGTCTTCATTCCCCTATTTAAAACACCTCACAGAGCTGTTGTGAGGATTAAATAAAGTGGCACATATAGAGTCAGAAGCTCTTTTTACCTTCATGGTTCTCTGGGGGTCTCATTTACCCAGAGTTCAGGGGTCGTCATACGTTTTAGGGTATTTCTACCTTTACAAAGCCCTGTTACTTGACCACATGTTCAAGCTTGGGCTCTTGGCTTCTAAAACATAGCTTCCATCTGAAATGTTTCAACTGGGAAAAACAATTTGTTTTTGCCAAATTTCCTCTGTTCTTACTAGCTTGGAGAAGTGAGCCCATCCCTTTGAGCTGTAAATTGCATTTCAAAGCCTGTGTCTCTGGTGGGTTTTAATTAGCTTAAGGGCCTGGCTTTTATGCAGCAGTTGTTTCACCAGCAGGTAAAGGTCAAGACCCTTACTTGGGAGCCAGTCCCCAGTTTTCCTCTAATAGCATATCTGCCCCCTCCCAGCCCCTCACTGTCCTGAGGGGCAGTCTTTCACCAGCCCAAAGGAAAGATGGCATTTAAGAACTTGGAGGACTAATGGGGTTCTCGGCCTTGCCACTCATGGGCTGGGGCATTGTGGCCAAGTCCATTCCCCTCTGTTCCTCAGGGTGAGAGTATATAAACCCCATGTTCACTGAAGCCCCTGCTAATCTGACATTGTAGAAGTTTCTGTGAAGAAGTCTGGTCCCTACTTCCTCTTCCTACCACCACGAAGAATCATCTTTCTACCCAACTCTCCTTGGCTCGTCCTTCTACCCAACTCTCCTTGGCTCATTGCTAAACATGGGGCCTCTGGGGGGCTGCAGACACCTTGCTCTCAATTACACAGCTAATCTGTGAGGCAGAGCTTGGCTTGGGGAAATAGCTTATCAAATCAAGCAGCTTCTGCTGAATAGGATGTCAATATTTACTAAGGCTCATACTCTAAGGTAGGGGGAAGCCTGGAAGAACCAAGAAAGAATCGTGGGGGGAGTATTAAATTGGGGATGGTTGGTCTGCAGGGGGTAGGAGAGTGTTTGGGTCAGAGACTCTAGTGTTTTAATGAGATACCTGGGGGACCCCCCGCCAGCCCTGGCCATACATACTTAGGGCTACAGCTAGCCCTTCTCAGCACCTCCTGGGACATTATTCTTATTGCTTCCTCCGTAATTCTTATTGGGCACTTACTGTGCCCAAGCCTTCGTCAGGCCTGCCTCTACCATTTGCAGGACAGGACAAGAGTACAGGTGGAGACTTACATGCCATATGTCTAAATATTTGTTTGGAGGTTATAAGTGAAGCTAACAAATTGTTAGGTTCGTAACAATCTGGAAGACTATGTCTGAATTTAGAATTCTTGACTCTTTGGGATTCTGTACCTGAACCTAGCAGTTCTGGAAGAACTGGTCTGGGCACCTTTTCATTTCCTAAGCGCAACTTGATCCCTCACTTTGAGGAGCCTCATAAACATGTGTTTAGACACTGAAGCTTTTCCATATTCCTGTAGATAGCTATTCCTTTGGGCTTAGAGAGTATGCACAGTAGCAGCACAGCCTTCCCTTGGAAGAGTGTACAGGCCTTGAAAGCAGATTAAGGGCTGATTAGATGGGGTAGGGGAGTGGATGGAGTATAGGGGTTGGTGCCTGGAGCATGCCTCAGATGGACATTTCTTCATGGCCCTGCAGATTCCTCACCCAGCCTGGCCACACGCATACGTGTCCCTCTTTGTGTGACATGGCTTTTATGCTTTTATACATGCATTCATGTCCCCCTTTTATACTAACCTTTGTGTGACATGGCTTTTGTCAGCCTTTTCTTGACATTATTCAGAATGTGCTCCAGTCTGACCTTCATCTCCATCTAGAATGGGCCTTACCAGTGTTGGGCAGTGTTGTCAGAACAGAGGAATTCAACTAGTCAGAGCGTAATTAATAGATCCTATAAAGAGTTTCACTGTTTGTAAAGTCCTTTTATGTACATTGTCCCAAACCCCAAGTGATGAGAGAAAAGATTGAGTACTGCCAAACCTGAAGAACTTCTCACCAGCCAAGGAGTGAATGCTGATCCTGCTGTAGAACTAAACATAGTAGCTCAGCAAATGCTTCCTGCTCAGTGGTTGGTATTAGAGGCTCCTGCCAGAGGTAGGAGGGAGCCCAGCACCTGTTATGCCCATGCCAGGTCAGTGGCAGAGGTAGTAGACATCAACAGGTCTGAACCATCGCCCCCCTTCTCTTTCCATCTTGGTCTACAACCCAGGCCAGTGGTTGGTTCCCTTCAGCCACAGCAGGTGGCTTCTCCCTGAGCCCAAACTTCATTTCTCTGAGCTGAACCAACCAGGAGAGTTATCTGATGCCTGTGGAGGAGCCCCACAAACTTCTTATATATATCCATGGATGGATGAAGAATTAACTTTTGAATGGCTTGTCATCCAGCTAGGCGAGGGATTATCACAGAGGACTGGGGGGGGGGTGGGCAAGGGAACCCACATACATGGAGCATTTTCTGCTGCACATAGACGTTATGTTAAGTGTTTTCATGCATGGATAATATCTTTTATGTTCCTCACTGCTTAATAAATGATGACTGGACGTAAAAGTAAACTGAGCACCAAAGAATCCTTTCCAGGCCCTTTCCAAAGCTGGCACCAGCTCCTTCATCAGTAGCAGTGCCCTCTCAGCCCCTGTCCTTTACCTAGGATGGTACACACTTGACTTCAGTATATCCATCAAGCTACTGCAAGCCTACCCTAAGTAGGAGTAGGTTTTTCCTCAGAATTACTTATTCTCAGGTCCAGCCTATGGTTTCCTTGCAGTGAGTGCCATCTGCTGGTCAGAACATGCCAGCTTCCAGACTGGGAGGATTGAAGAGAAAAGGGTCTCTTACCATAGTGGAACAAAAGATAGCGCTTTCTCTGCCTATACTTAGCTCTGCTCTAATTCCTTCTAAAGAAGGAATGCTTCTAAAGAAGCTCCCTCTGCCCCCAAAATATTAGGTTTGTGAGCAGGTGTTTACAGTTAGCCTAGGTCGATGAGAGGTTTTTTGGTTTTTTTTTACATACTGCTTAGGGTCTTCAGCACCTTCTGTGATAGCTCTACAATGGGGTATTGAGATAGGAAGGTTCCAAAGGGATTTGTACAAACCCATGCCAGTGAGCAGAGAAGTCTGGGCCAGTAAGTAGAAATGCCAGTACTTACTGTTAGACTTTTCCTACTGACATCAAGCCTCCTTTTCCTTTTCCTCTGGAGCCTGTGCTCTGTTATAGCATGTCCAGGGTTGGGGGTAGGAGAGATTTGTATGGCCCCTTGGGGTAAAAGACATTGCCAGGGTGTAGAGAGTGAAGTGTAGGTACAATATTATCTCTAAGCAAACAACAAAATTTGAATGAGTTAGTATAAAAATAGATAATATGCTGACTTAACTATAATATTTAAATTGGCTTTAGCTCTGGGAAGGAGAGTGATAGAGATGAAAAAAATGGGCTGTGGGGACCAACTGGCCTGTTTCTGACAAGTCAAAGAACTTATTAGAGTCTATTTCTGGTAAAATATGAATAATAGTAATAATATTTAATGGAGTCTTGTGATTACTCAATCTTGCCTGCCACCCTTAGCCTGCCATGAGTGCTCAGTGAGGCTTATTTCACTCACCTTTTTAAAAATGGTTGGTACCAATAAAGACAGCCATAACTAGGTCAGTGTCTGCATCAAACTGAGCAATTTTCATAATGTGGTGTTGTTCTAGAGCAGGTATTACCTGCAGTTACCATATGACTTCCTCACCATGGTTATACATTGAAGGAACAGAAGAAAAACTATGGAAGGTCTTCAGATTTAGATCCTGCATGGTGTAACATTTGAGATAAGCATGAAAGAATGGGTTTAAAAGAATTAGAGTCCAGCAGACCAGGGTTCAAATCCCAGCCCTGCTGCTCACTAGCATTGTGATCTCTGACTGTGCATTTTCTCCCTTGTGAAACGTCTGGGTTCTGTGTATCATGTCAGTACCAAATGAGAGAACATATATAAAACACCTGGCCATGAGGTCAGCATCCCAGTGAGATGTTTAAAGGGGAGGCTGAATGCTGTATGGTTGTGTGTATGTAGCAGGGCACAGAGCAATCCAGTTTAGCTAGGATTTGGGCCATGGGTAGCCCTTGAGCCCAACTGGGAGACCCAGTCTCACAGTGGCGCGCGCTCTCTCTCTCTCTCTCTCTCTCTCTCTCTCTCTCTCTCTCTCTCTCTCTCTCTTTAGGTGGCCACCATGTCCTTGAAGATCCAGACAAGCAACGTAACCAACAAGAATGACCCCAAGTCTATCAATTCTCGAGTCTTCATCGGAAACCTCAACACAGCTGTGGTGAAGAAGTCAGATGTAGAGACCATCTTCTCCAAGTATGGCCGTGTAGCCGGCTGTTCTGTGCACAAAGGTTATGCCTTTGTCCAGTATGCCAACGAGCGTCATGCCCGGGCAGCTGTGCTGGGAGAGAATGGGCGGGTGCTGGCCGGGCAGACCCTGGGTAAGCGTCTCTCTTTGGCCCTGCTCCTGGTATTCTCCTGAGCAGGTGCTGGCCTTCACTTTCCAGCTCCCCTCTTAGACCTTTCTTTTTCCCTTACTCTACTACTTGCTACCCTGCCCCTATCTGAAATGTTATAACTAAGTAGTTATAAATTGTATTTAAGTTATAAATTAAGTATTTATAAAATATGCAGGGTTGAGTTTTAGAAGCTTCTCAAAAATGGTTCTGTCTTGTCTTGTCTTTGCTTTCATAGTGACTCTTAATGACAAGCTTTATGATTCTGGTTAAAATGCAGATTCCTAAGGGAAACGGAACAGAGTGGACTAGCATAACCTGTAACATTACGCTACAGATGTCTTAGGTTAGAACTCTTTTTTTTTTTTTTTTTAAGTTTATTTATTTATTTTGAGAGAGCAAGTGAGCTCTCTAGAGGGGTAGAGAGAGATGGAGAGAGAGAATCCCAAATAGGCTCCATGCTGTCAGTGCAGAGTCCGACACGGGGCTTGAACTCACGAACCATGAGATCATGACCTGAGCCAAAATCAAGAGTCAGTTGCTTAACCCGACTGAGCCATCCAGGTGCCCCCAGGTTGGAACTCTTTATGAGAGCTGGGAGGAGGGGCTAGGAGCACAAGGTGAAGTAGGTGCCTTTGGCCTTGGTGCTATGTATATATGATGTGGCCATGTGGTAGTCTACCGTGGAGTGTGTACAGCGCACCTACTTCTGTGTATATGTATGTCCAAAAAGGGATATTGATAGATGTATTCCTGAATGTGTGATATGTGGATGTAACTAAACATGTGGAGAATATGTGAACACATCTTTAGAATGTATATATGTAAAGTGTATGTGTCAGAATGTACTAAGTGTGTGTAAGAAGATACGCATATTTATTTGTCAGATATTGAGATCCTGTCATAAGGCTAAGCATCATTCTAGGTAGAAAGATGTTTGGTAGAATATTTGCTTGAATGTGGCTCATTTGTAGATAGGCAGTTATGTATATGACATCGGAGCCAAGTCTCAGTGTACTTGAGAGTCTATATGTTATTTTTGTGTGTGACTTGATTACCTGGATATGTGAACAAGTATGTGAAGATATGTATCTGAAGTACTTATTTACATCAGCGTGCTTGAGAATGCTTATATGTGTGATGTCCACGGCATGTGTGTGTGAGTGATATGTGTGTGAGCGTGCGTGCATCTGAATGTATACGAATTTGTAAATAGGCATATCTCTGTGATGTGTGGGTAGGAGTCTAATGTGTGAAGACCTCTGTTGGTTGTATTAGTTAGGAGAGTCCATTGTCCCTCACACATAGAAATTGCTGCTACTGTGCAGGAAGGTGTAAGTGTTTGGGCTCCCTGGTACCCTGCCAGCATCTGACTGTGCCTCCTTTCTCCACACAGATATCAACATGGCTGGAGAGCCCAAGCCCAACAGACCCAAGGGACTAAAGAGAGCAGCATCTGCCATATACAGGTGAGGCGCTCTGTCTCTTCTATCTCTCTCCATCTGGGTGGGATTGGTCCCTCTTTGCACAGAGGGAGTGAACATTGGTTGGTGACAGTGTGCCGAGCCTAGAATTTGGGGAGGTGTTTGGAGATGAGGGCCTGTGGAGAGTGGGCTGAGTGGCTGTCCCTAAGCCCCGGCCCTCTCCCCTTTGTTTCCCCAGTGGCTACAGCTTTGACTATGATTACTACCGGGACGACTTCTACGACAGGTGAGCAGGGAAGGGGCGTGCCCAGGCATGAAAAAGCCAAGCTGGAAGGGTCCTGAGAGATTACTGGTGTAGCCCACTCAGTCCTCCATGTGGAAACTGGAGCCCAGAGGTGTGGACGGGCATCTGCCCAAGGCTGTTCCACAAGTTGGTGGCAGAGCTGGAACTAGGGTCTAGTTCTGCAGGTGCCCAGGTCAGAGGTTCCCCACCCCACACTGTCTCCCATTCTGACTGCCCTTCCACCTCCTAATCCTGGGTTGGGACTTAGTGGAACTAGACAGCAAGGGACAGATAACCATAGCAAATTGGATTATAGAAAAGGTTACTAGAGTAGGTGCAGGGAGTTTGAGCCCTCATGTTCCTGCTGTTTAGTCTCCTTATCTATTTGAGGTGCTCAGCCAGGTGGAAGGAGCCTCAAAAGCTCAATGAATACCTCTTGGCCTTTCATTTATAGCCAGGAGGCCAGCAGTCCTTTGGAGGTCTGAATTAGTTCCTGGTAGGCTATGTGGCCCATCCCTTCACCCTCAAGCCTTCCCAGACCCCAGCCTTGAGCTGTGGGCTCCATTCTATGGCACTAGCCACATTCCCAAATGGAAATCATGATGGGGGCTGTTCCAAAACTCTCCCTTCCTTCGTCCTTCCCATCCTGCCTGCCTCAGTCTGTCCAGGAAGAACAGAACCTCTCTGAGCCTTGGTTTTCTCACCTCTGAATGGTTTCAGGAGACAGTGCGGTGTAGTGGAATGTGCCCTAGCCTGAGAGTCAGTCAGAAGACTGGGTGCTAATCTCAGCTCTGCCACTGAATGGATTGTGTGACTTTGGGCAAATCCCCTCCCGGTCTGTAAAATGGGCTTACACTAAGTAATCCCTCAGGGCTCTTCCAGCTCTGGGATTCTGTGGTTAGTGATTCTGACCAAGGCCAGAGCCGCCCCCTCCCCTTAGGGGCAGAAATGCAGGGTCTGGGACTGGATCCATTCCCAGAGACTCTCCATCTCCAGCCATCCCCACCCCAGGGCAGGGGCTCCCTGAACAAAGGAATGCCAAGCCATGGGGCATTGCATTGTCTAGTGATGGCATGTTTCCTGGCTGTCACCAAAGTGATTCCATAGTGTACCCCCAGGGCTGTGTTTCCCTGAAGAAAGGTAATAGTAGCAGATGTGGTGGGAGATACCCTTACTCAGCCTGTTGAACTTCTGACTGATGAGCAGGAAGAGAAACTCTCTCGGAGAGGGCTCGGTGATGACACTGGGGACAGCATAGTCTGGGAGCCCAGGGATCTGATTGGTTGTCCAACCTTGATATTCTAATGATCTCCTCCCCTCCATCTCTGAAGTGGAGTAAGAGGGCTGGGGTGATAAAGAGGGCCCAGAATTAGAACAGGTGTTTGGGACTCCAGCCTCATGCCTCTGAGGCCATAGTCTCCTGGTTTGAGAGTCTCAGTACCCTGGCCTTCACCTATCACACCTTTTAACATGTGTGCTTTTAACCAAGTTTTCTCATGCCCTGCTCTCACAATAGCCTTGGGGTGGGGTACGGTGGGGGCCTGGCACAGAATTTGAGGTAGTCATCCTCATTAAGCAGATTTCGGGAAAACTGAAGCTCAGGCAGGCTTAGGGATTCCCTATTCCTACATCTTTTTGTTCCCAGCTGGAATTTTGCCTTGCTTTAGGGACATTTGCAAATTCTGACCAGAGGTTGGGGTGGCAGTTGACTGAGCAGAAGCAGAAGCCGGCAGGCCTGGGTGTTAGGGGGACCTGGGGAAGGCTCTTTTCTGGGGCTGGTGTCTGTTTGCTCCTTCCTTGAACCAGGGTTGAAACCATTACCACCTGCCACCTCACCTGCCCTCATCTGACCTGACTGGTAGGAAAGGTGGATGAAATGAGAGTCCCAGCAGCTTTTAAGGTGCCAGAAGCCCATCCTCTTCACTCCCAGGGCTTGTTGGGAGCAGGCGGAGGTGTGTAGTACAGGCTGCCCAGCCCTTCGCCAGCACGTGCTTGTCTAGAGTCGCAGTGCCTTCTGGTGGCCACAGGCCATGCTGCAGCCTCTGGCCCATTTGCCCCTACAGGCTCTTCGACTATCGGGGCCGCCTGTCACCTGTGCCAGTGCCCAGGGCAGTCCCTGTGAAGCGACCCCGGGTCACAGTCCCCTTGGTCCGGCGTGTCAAAACCACCATACCTGTCAAGCTCTTTGCCCGCTCCACAGCCATTACCACCAGCTCAGCCAAGATCAAGTGTGAGTGACTGTATCTTCTTCCTAGATCTTTTTTGTTTTTCCTCATTAGCAAAATAATAGAATCATGTATTTTTACATTGGAAAATAGATGAAGGAACAAATCTCCCACAGTTCTGCAGCTCTAGCACAACCAAGTGAGTATTCTTACTGCATTTGTAAGAGGAAAAGCCTGACCTATGAGGAGGAGGGGCTTGGGTTGGGCACAGAAATGTCCAGTGCTGTGACATGGAGCCCAGTGAGGAAAAGGTGTCTTCTTTCCTATAATAAGAACAAGTTTGCACAGGCCCACTGCTGGTGTGCACATTCATTCTGGTGTACACATGTTGCAGCCAGGCACCCAGGAAATCTGATGGTAAAACACCCACATCCATCCATACACCTTGAAATCTGGGCACCACCCTATTTAACATAAGGAAGAACACATGATTGCTCAGGTGCACGCCACACCTGCATTCTCCTCCATCTCCAGTCCCTTTCATTGTTGAGAGGTCATGGGAAGAGATCCAGGTGCAGAAGGGTGGACTGGTTACTATAGGCATGGTCTCAAAAGTCTCAGAAGCCACGGGCAGCTCCAGCCTTTTTGCTGGCAAAAGAACCATGGATGAAGACAGTTCCTGCCACTGGCCTGCCTTCCTGGTTGACAGAATGGGACTAGGGAGGATCTTACGTTAGTGTCAAGCTCCCAGCCCCTGGGTGACAACGTATACTCCCTGTGCTCCCAGTAAAGAGCAGTGAACTGCAGACCATCAAGACAGAGCTGACACAGATCAAGTCCAACATCGATGCTCTGCTGGGCCGCTTGGAGCAGATTGCCGAGGAGCAGAAGGCCAACCCAGGTCAGCTTCCATGGGTCCTTGCCCAGCTCGGGGACCAGGGGCACAGGGCAGAGTGTGGGGAGGTCAGCGCACGGGGCAGAGAAGGGCTGTGGCCTCCAACGCCACATGGATCCACCATGCCGAGGCCTAGCTGCTGCTAAGATCCTGCCTTGGGCAGCTGCCCCAGGCTGAGTTCTATTCTCCTCTTCCCACCCCTTTCCCCTCAAGATGGCAAGAAGAAGGGTGACAGCGGCAGTGCCAGTGCCAGTGCCAGTGCCAGTGGCAGTGGTGGGGGCAGTAGTGGTGGCAGCAGCCGGCCACCAGCCCCCCAAGAGGACACGGCTTCTGAGGCAGGCACGCCCCAGGGAGAAGCACAGGCTCGAGACGACGGCGATGAGGAGGGGCTGCTGACACACAGCGAGGAAGAGCTGGTGAGGGCACAGCTGGGGAGGGGTGCATAGGAGGGGAGCAGGGGAAGGGGGAACCCTCTGAGCTGCTGAGTGTCCCTGTTGAGCTCCCTCTTTCCTCTTCCTGGGAAGGGGGATACCTATTTCAATTGCCAGTCAAAAGTCCCACTGAGGACCAGAGTAGACCTCTCTTGAGTCAGGGCCCATTCTAGACTTGGTTTCCATACAGGTTGGACAAGGGAAGAGTCAGGGGCTTCAGGGAGCACAGTCTGCAGAGTTTCAGGGGGCAGGACTAGGATTGCCTGGGGAAGCCTCAGGGAGGTTGGGTATCCACTTTACCTGAGGATTTTCTAAAAGCTATTCCTGCCTAAGCATAAAACAGGTTGTCTCATGAGAGGCATGGAGGGAGTTCTTTGTTATTGGAACCCTTCAGAGTGAGGCTGGGAAGTCATTGGCAAGGAGCTTATGTCAAGTAGGAAGGTAGACCAGACTCTGAGTATGTATGATAACTGTTGTGTGCCTTCTACTTGTTTACCTAATAGACACTGAGCACCAGGCCCTGTAGTTTCTAACTTTATTTAACCTTAACAACAGCGTCGTACTGTGCAAAGTTACTACTCTTCCCACGTTTTAGCCAGTGAGGAAACTGAGGCTCTGAGGAGTAGAGTAACTTGCTCAGGGCCTTATAATTAATAGGGGATGAGCCAGAATTAGAGCCCTGACTTCTTCACTAGGTCTGGGACTTTCTCCTTTTCATCATTGCTGGGTTCTGGCATGAAGACAGATGGGCTCATGGCCACTGTAGTTAAGAGATCCTCCTCCTTATGTCCCTAGCTTGTCTCTCCTTTTTTGGACCCATTTACTCTCTTAGGCATAATAGTCTCCATAAAGGCCCTAACGAAGGCTTAGCTGTCCCAAGGATAGCTCACCCGTCCACCAGGCGGCTTTCAACCTGCTACAGTCTAAGAAGGTCTTTCTACATAGAAATGTGCTCCCCTGCCACACCTAGAACGCCCTTGACTGGTCCCGTCTCTCTTCTGGGGGATGGGCTCAGACCATCCTGTCAGGATCCCAAGCCAGCTGTGTTGAAACTGGTCCCATAATCATCCCTCTTTCGGAGTTTGGTCTCCAGAAGTGCAGTGGGCCCCAGGGCATGACTCAGAGTTGGTAGTGAGTGATGTATGGTCTCTTGTTGCCTCCTCCCTATCAGGAGCACAGCCAGGACACAGACGCGGAGGATGGGGCCTTGCAGTAAGCAGGTATGGGGCTTCTGGTGGACAGGGGGTGAAGAAAAGTGGCAGGCATGCCATGAAGCAGACCTGGCAGGGTCTTGCTATGCCCAGCAAGGACGGCCCCTCCATCCTGTCAGCCATTTGACCATGCTCCTTTGTGGCAGGAACTTGCTAGGCTGTGGGAGCAGGAGCCATGGATGGGCTAGGCAGGCCAGCCCTGCACGGGTTCCCTCAGTGCACTCTGAGGCATGTTGTCCAGCTCCACCCTTCAGAAGTTCAGAGTCTGGTGGAGGAAGACACAAACCGTGACCACCCAGTGTGAGCAGGATGATGGGCTGTAGAGGCAGGGTGTCCATAGGGGTGTGGTGGAAGAGTTGATACTTAGCTGAGCCTATTCAGGATTGAGGGAGAGGTATCTGAGGGAACAGCTTTAGCAAAATACAGGGTTCTGATGGTCCTTGGTATGTGGGAGATGGTCAGGAGTCTCCTGTGGCCATAGTCCTAGCTCTGCATGGTAAGGCAGAGGGAGCAGTTCATCACCAAAGTGATGTTTGTGCCAGGCTTAGGGGCTAGGACTTAACCCTGCAAGGTTGTGATTGTATCAGTGTAACACATGGGAACTGAGGCACTGAAAGGGGCAGGGAGGTAGCATATATCTCACTAGATCCCAAGGTGGTAATCGGTGGAGCCTAGGTTTGAATCCAGTGGTGTATGGTGTCCCAGCCTACTCTCTGGCCAGTGCTCGCCCCCCTGCTCTGCCCCATTTCTTTGGGGGTCGTGTTCAGGGTAAGACAGGCTTAGGTGGAGGAAATCCTTGACCTCAGAGGTGTCTTTACACCTGACACGTTCATTTTGTGAGGTGTTCCACCAGCAAGAGCTTCCCAGACAGTTTAGGAAATTGTATATATGGAATCCATCCTCTTGGAGCTTCATGGTTGGTTTTACCAAGGAAGCTAAGTTTTACCTTGTGAAGCCAGTTCTCAGATGAGGTGCAGGGCTCAGGTGAGGAAATGGAGGCTCAGGGAGGGGGAGAGACTCACCCAAGATTGTATGGCCAGAAAATTAGGAGGCGAGAGCCAGAGCACAGGCACATCTCTGTCCGCAAACAGTAAACACCGTTCTGCCCTTTTGTCTTCCCAGCCCTAGTAATCATGGGTCCCAGGGGCTCTTCTGCCAGCCTCAGTCTCTCCTTTGTCTCTCTCTCTCTCAGCCTGACAGGAGCAACGGCCAGCAGCAGGAGAAGGGCGTGTACTGTATCAGGCCTCATGTTGGGCACCCACCCCTGAATACCACCCCCAGCGGGTCCCAGGAGAGCTGGCAGCAGGCACCTCCTCCCCCACACGTCCCAGCCACTGCCACATCCTCTGCAGGTGCGGTTATCGGCCTCCCCTCCCCACGCACCCTCCTTGTTGGCACCGCCCAGGGCAGAGGACAGAGGTTTCCCTATACTCTACCTCCCCTCCCAGGACACTCCCAGGCTTGGGGTTTTTCTATAGGTTTGGAGAGGGGAGGGTCACGGGGAGGGTACCCTGACAATAAAGAGATTGGATCCCAACTTGCTCTGAGATGGGATGGTTTGTATTTATTTTCTTAAGGTACCCTAGTCCTCCTGCCCAGCCAGAGTCTGGTCTAGTCTGCTTCATGCCAAGAGTCTAGTCTGGTTTGCTTTACCCTGTTCTTTTTCCTCTTTCACTTCTCCCGGTTAGGGAGCATTGTCTCGGGTGCATACTGCTGGGCTGTCTAGGCCTTAGTTTCCACAGCTAAAATGGAAATAGAAATGGCCAGTAGGGTTCTTGGGGGAGGGTCAGATGTCCCAGTGCCCAAGAGAATACTTTGGTGGCTGAAGTGCCAAGCAATTATGAGCTACTTGGTTAGGCAGTGGTAGGTTCAGGTCTTAGCTTCTCATTTAGTCTGGTCTTTCCCAGCTTTAAGATGATTCTGGAAACTGCCTCGTCCTCTCTTCTCTGTCCTAGTTTAGGATGCTGTGTTTTTTCACTTGGGCTCTGTCCTCTCACCAGCTTCCCAGTCTCTGGCTTCTCCCTGCCCCATTTCCCATTAGCCACTATGGTGCTTTTTCTGAGTCATGTCCCTTCCCTGTAAAACCCTTACCTGACAGCTCACCGTTGGGACAAAACTCCCAACTCCTGTACATGATCCTGTATACTTTGGCCTCTCCTGTCTTTTGTCACCTGCCCCACACAAAACAAGTCCTTCCCTCTCATAGGCAGCAAGTCATAGAGCCTCACTCCCATTAACCTCAAGCATTAGGAAGTTGGCATCAGGATACCTGTGGCTTCCCTGTACCTATTCTGGGCTGCCTGTCTAGATGTTTGCTTTGTTCTCTGACAACTGACAGTGTTCGTTCAAATTTCCTCTTCTGTCCTAATTTTACTCCACAAGTTGACGAATTTCCCTGCGTTCAAATTCCTAGGAGAGGATCACCTGCCACAGCGGATCTTTTTGATTCACTCATAGGTTATATAAGTACCCTCCCCAGTCCTGTGAACCTGGTGACAAAGGTGTGGTCAGTTAGTCTGGTCTCTCTGGTGTGGGGCTTTGGTGGGCAGACACCCAGAAACGTGCTTTGCTCCTGGTCTGGCACGTACTCTTGCTCCTTTCTCCATCTGAGAGATACCCACTCATTATTAAGCTGCTGTTCCAGTGTCAGGCACCTCTGAGAAGTCTTTCTTCTCAGGTTACTGCTCTTCAAAAATTGTTCATTCTCTCTTCTAGACAAACTTTCCCAACACCGAGAATTCGGTCCCATCATCAGAAAGGGGTTTGGGCTCTCCAGTCGTCTTTGCATGTTCCTCAGAGTGTCAGGCCTGCTGGAATTCTTGTTGAAAATCCCATTTCAGACCAACTGTTCTACAACAGTCTCCATCAAACTTTCCCCAGACTTTGGCCCCAGGTTTTCGTGGAGGCTAGAGGCTGGGCTCGAGACAGTGCTGAAGCTAGGCCACCCTGGGTGTGGAATCACCCAGGGAAGTTTTTGTTGTCTCGTGTCTCCCTCCCTGGGCAGCCCCTCCTGCCTGTCATTGGCTGGCTAGCAGTCTGAAGCCTGAGTGTGGCTCTGCATTCCCAAGCTGTGCAGGGGCCTGATTAACCCACCCTTGAGGCAGCCCAAGTTCTGGACCCACAGCTGAGCCAAATGCCCCCATCCTCGCTTAGCCATTGCCTCATAATGTGATGTGGAGCAAAGTTTCTGCCTTTTTGGCGCTTCAGCTCCACAAGTGGGCTCACAGTCCCCATATGTGTGCCTGTCAGGGACCCTGGGCAGCAGGGGGAGAGAGGGTAGAGGCTGAGGCCTTAGTGGACTTAACACTGAGGGCTGGCACCATGTTCCTGAGTCTCCAGAGCCTAGTGCTCTGTGCCCCTTGCACTGTAATAACATTTTCGGATTCTATATGGCCATACTCAATAGTGACTGAGGCACTCACTTTTCAGGTTTGGGGTCAGGTAGAATAGGAGGCGCTGTGAGCTTCTGTAGTACGCTAGGCAGAAGAGCAGGGAAAATCCCTTCCAGGGCAGGAAATGTCTGCCCTACAAGGAGGCCCTGCCTAATCACCCTAGCACCAGGACGTCCTGGACAGATGGAGATCCCCATCCTGGCATCCCACAAAAGGCCCTAAACTACTTAGCCCCTGGGAAGATTTGAGTGGGAAATTCACATCCACAAAACCCTGCTGCATACATCTGCCCAGTCCTCTCTCATTCTGTTGCTCATCGGTTTTCATTTATCTGTTCAACCTCTGAAAACCAAAAGGAGATGATGAAGAAATAGGATTACCAGATTCTACCCAAAGGGCTATGATTCCATAGATATTTTGAAGATCTGAAGCCTCATTTGTGATCCTGGCAGCTGTTGAAGGAATTATCACAACCAGTGGTTTTACTGGCTTTCCTCCTTGTACTGCTGCCAATAAAGTTTGTGATGCAGGGCGAGTCTTATTCCTTGCTAGGTCTCCCGTTTCCTCATCTGTGCAAGGGGTTGGCCTAGATCAGGGATAGTAAATGGGCCTCTTATCATCAGTTAACTTGTATAACAAGCCCAAAATGTAGTACTTTTAATAAACATTTATTACCTTCTGATTCAGTGGCTTGGAAATTTGGGCTGCACTCAGCTGGGCAGTTCTCCTTATCTGGGCTATGATATGGCTGAAGTGAGCTGGCAGATTGGCTGGGGGGCCACGGGTCCCAGATAATCTCACCCACTTGTTAAGGAGTTGGCTGGGCAGCAGGGCAAGTGGGCCACATGTACCCAGAATCTAGCAGGCAGACCAGGTAAGCTCCAGTGTACAAGTGCTCTTCCAAGTTCTTGCCCATGGCATGTTTGCGAGGTTCTTTTGGTCAAAGCAAGTCACATGGCTAAGTCCAAACTCTTAATTTGAGGAGTCTCAAAATATGGCCCAATTTTGTTTTTAATCTCTCTCAGGCTTCGTTTCATGTGCTGACTCAGAATGTTTTTAGTAGCAGCTGCTGGAATGCTTTTTGAGGATTTGGAGCAGTTTTTAGATAGCCAGGAAATAGTAACATGATGATTTGGGGGGTTTTTTTGTTTTTTGCTTTTTTTTTATGGATGAGGAGTTGAAATGAGAGTACGTGAGTGTCCATTCAGTATTAGCCAGGCCTGGCCAGGTCATCTCTAATCCTATCAGGACATTATACACTCTACAGTGGACCATCTGACAAGACCACAGAAATACGGAGTATAAAGCTGGGCAAGATTCTGATCTAGGTTTCCTGGGTTTGAATTCCAGTTCGACCATTGATTAACTTTGGGCAAATAAAAATCCCTATAGCCATGGCCACATTCTTTGTAGTAAGATTATTCTATAATAACAGTAAATAAAACTTGTGAATATGTGCTGTGTAAAAGGCACATTTTACATTTATTTAATCTCTATAACCACCTTTTAGGTGGATGTAATATGAACTTTCTGTTACAAGTTGTAGAAACTGGACTCAAATGTGCTTAAGCAGGGGGAAGTTTACTGTTTCACCAATTTAAAGTTCCAGATACAGTTATGCAGACCCAGTGGATGCAGGGCTTCAAGAGTTGTCATCAGGAATGTATTTCTTTATTCTTCAGCTTGGTCTCCTCTCTTAGCATTGTTCTCAGGTTCTAAGTGATGGCAGAGCATGGCCACAGGGCCTATGAGTGTGGACAGGGAAAGGGAAGAATCCCCAAAAGGAAAATAGGAGTTCTGCTGCTAGAAGAAGGGAAGTTTGGCATGACAAAAATAACAGGTCTTCATTGTGAGTTATGTCCATCTTACAGATTTTATAGATGCGGAGGTTCTAAAACTTAGCCCCATTGACAGCTGGTATTTCTGTCCTCTCCCCTTTATCTGGACTCTAATCAGTAGGATACAGTGATGGTGATGCTAGGCCAGTCTCACAGTTGTGTTAAGAACTAGTAGTTTCTACTGTGTCTTGAGACCCGGCCACCATGCTGTGAAGCCCAGGCCACATGGAGAAGCCTGACATGACAGCCCTAAGTTCCAGCTGATAACCAGTATCAGCTGTCAGACATGAATGAGGAACCCTTCAGGATGACTCCAGCCCAGCCACTGACTGAGAACCAAGACAGAACTGCCTAGCTGAGGCCTGTCAAAGTCCAGCACCATGAAGGATAATAATCAGTGATCATCATTTTAAGCTAAGTTTTAGAGTGATTTGTTATATATCAGTAGATAATCTGAACACAAACTGAGGCTCAAAAGGTTAAGTAGTTTGCTCTACTTTAGGGGGACTGGGCTAAGAGTATAGACTTTGTGTAATTGAGTTCGAGTGCAGGTTATTTGCTGTATACCTTAGACAAGTCAGTTAACCTCTCTGAGCCTCATCTTCCTTATCTGAAAAGTGGAAAAGAGCACACTGTTATTATGACAATACCTAATGAGTTCACTTATCACCTAATCCAGATTTAGGTGATTTTTCTCTTAAAAAAAATAACAGACCATAATTTTCTTTTCTCTTATTTTTATATTCACCCTTTCCCAAAGTGTATTTCAGTATGTATGTAATATTTAATTTGTAAATATTAGATATAAAGTTAAACATTAAATAGAATATTATAAAAAGGAGACAAAGGAAGATAATAACAAGAAGGCTTTTCCCCCTACATCTAAGAGTTACTGCAGTCAAGAGCAGTGTGTCCATCTGGTCATTAAGCCTGTGGGGCAAGCCCAGCTGGCCCTCCTGCATGTATGGATGGATGGACACGATACCTGCTTCCTCTGACTGGTGAGTGGACCCCTGGTGCACACATACCCCTCCCTGAATCCCTGCCTCAGTCTACCTCCTGAGGGGTCTCCTCAAAAAAAAGGTGCAGCAGCCAGGGCTTATTTGGGCAAGTACATGGGTTTGGCTTTTCCAGGTGCACAGAACACAGGGTCACCCAGTCCCACTTTCTGACGTGGACCCCATTTCTTGTCCACATCCTAGTGCCTTCTAACAATAAGC